GATGTGCTCCCTATAATCACTCAGTTTTTACAGATGATTAAGACACAATTCGATGTCATTGTTCGTGCTCTTCGTTCGGATAATGCCAAAGAATATGTGTCTGATGCTTTAGTGTCTCACCTTTCTTCTCAGGGTATCCTTCAGCAACTCACTTGTCCATATACTCCTGAGCAAAATGGTGTTGCTGAGAGGAAAAATAGGAGTTTGATAGGGATGGTACGTTGTCTGCTTAGAGGCATGAGGGTACCAAAATCTTATTGGCATTTTGCTGTTTTGACTTCTACCTTTCTGTGCAATCGTACGCCGAGTCGTGTTCTTCAGCATAAGGCTCCCTTACAGGTCTTATTTCCTGAGCGGACACTTTTTCCGGTCCCCCCTCGTGTTTTTGGATGCACATGTTTTGTTCAGGATCGGTCTCCTACTCGTCATAAACTTGATGATAAAGCGATTCGTTGTATCTTTGTGGGCTATTGTCATCAATCTAAGGGGTATCGCTGTTATGATCCTATTAGGCGTCGTATGTATCACAGTCTAGATGTTACCTTTCTTGAGCATATTCCTTTTTTTCCTTTCAGTCCTTTGTCTGCCCCTCCAGTTGATGATACTCCCTTTGATTTCCCATTACCACAAGAGTCAGAGTCATTGATCACTATCCCTACAGGGTCATCCGTTTTTCCTCCCAAGGAGTCACTCATCCCTGTCAGTACAGAGTTACCAGTCTCTCTTCCTTTGCAGGTGTATGCTCGTTGTCCTCGCTCTCATCACCCTGCTGATATCCCCTCTACCTCAGGCGATGCAGGTAATACTTCTCAGTTTGTTGAGCATATTGATGCACCTGTTGTTAGTACTGATGAGATTACAGGTGCTGAGCCAGTTACTTTACCTGATAAGATATTATCAGTAGAGGATGGTGATTTAGGGCGTCGTTATCCAAGGCGTGATCGCCGTCCAGTTGATCGATATGGTTGGACCGCCAAGATTTTATATCCGATCTCTGCTTATGTTTCTTATGGTAATCTGTCTCCCACATTTCGAGCTTATACTATGGCCTTATCAGATACGCTGGTTCCTCGCTCTATTTCGGAAGCTATGCGGGAGCCCCAGTGGGTTCTTGCCATGCAGACAGAGATGGACGCTCTTCAGCGTAATCATACATGGGATCTTGTCTCCTTACCTTCAGGGGTGAAGCCTGTTGGCTGTCGCTGGGTTTACACCCTGAAGTTTCTGGCAGATGGTACTATTGATCGTTACAAGGCTAGACTTGTGGCGAAGGGCTTTACTCAGGTACCAGGTCGTGACTTTGGTGCTACATTTGCCCCCGTGGCAAAATTGACTACTGTTCGGTTAATTATTTCTCTGGCTGCGGAGTACTCTTGACCTCTTCATCAATTAGATGTGAAGAATGCGTTTCTTCACGGTGATCTGGACGAGATTATTTATATGGATGCACCACCGGGCTTTCGTGGTGAGGGGGAGTATGCTGGAAAGGTATGTCGACTGCGTAAGTCTCTTTATGGACTGAAACAGTCGCCACGAGCCTGGTTCTCTCGCTTCAGTGATGTAGTCATACGATTGGGGTTCACCAGGTGTCATTCTGATCATACCTGCTTTATTCGACGGAATACCTCTGGACAGTGTGTCATCCTTCTGGTATATGTTGATGATATTATTATTACTGGTGATGATGTTTCTGGGACTGCGCAGGTCAAGATAGACCTTGGGAAGGCCTTCGATGTGAAGGATCTTGGATTTCTGCGATACTTTCTTGGGATTGAAGTTGCTCGTAGAAGCAGAGGTATTGTTCTTTCTCAGAGAAAGTATGTTTTGGATCTTCTTTCAGACACTGGGATGTTGGGGTGCAAACCGGCATCATCACCTATGATTCCAAACCTGAAGCTTACTGCTGAAGGTGAGGAGTTGAAAGATCCGACAGTTTATCAAAGATTGGTAGGTAGACTTATCTACTTAGCCAATACTAGGCCGGACATTTCATTCGCAGTCAGCCGAGTTAGTCAGTTCATGCATAGGCCATGTCAGCCTCATCTTGATGCAGTTTATCATATTCTTCGGTACCTCAAGTCTTGTCCTGGACTTGGGTTGTTTTATGCATCAGGATCTCAGACCGGTTCTCTAGCCTGTTATTCAGATTCAGATTATGGGGGAGCATGTGATGGTCGATCTACTACGGGTTTCTGTGCTTTTCGAGGGACTCATCTTATCTCTTGGAAGAGCAAGAAGCAGACAGTTGTCTCCCGCTCGTCTGCAGAGGCAGAGTATCGGGCATTGGCACTTGGCACATGTGAGATTATCTGGCTACGATCGATTCTTGACGAGTTGGGTTTTTCAGTGACCTCTCCATCCACATTATATTGTGATAATCAATCTGCTATTCAGCTCGCTTCTGACTCTGTACTACATGAGAGAACGAAGCATATAGAGATTGATGTTCACTTTCTTCGGGAGAAGGTCAGCAGTGGTCTTGTTACTCCATCGTTTGTGGGGACCAGTGATCAAGTTGCGGATGTTTTTACCAAACCTGTCACTCTGTCTATTCTTCGGGACTCCGTTGTCAAGCTTGGCTTAGTTGACATTTTTGCGCCTAGCTTGAGGGGGAGTGTTGGAGTATAGATAGTAGTCTAGGTTTATTAGGATTTCTTTTCCCTTTTTTACCCTTACTATGATTTTTATATTTTGCCTAAACTACAAGGATGTTTAAGTCACTCTGTATTATTTTTGGCTATATATACGGGACTCTACTTTGAGTTTGAGTATCCCTTTCACATATTCCAAGTGGTTTCAACTACAGAAGACATTGTATGATGATTCGTGAATATTAAATGCACAGTAAAATTATATACAAAAATAAGTGGCAATGTGTGGAAAAATTGTGTTCAGATTATTGAGTTGAGTCTTTTATGCAGAAAAATGTTGTTTAGCACCTCAGATTACTGTATTGTGCTTTTGTTCCATAAAACTTGCTTAATCAGTTCGTGAAGTTATGACTTCTTATGGCACTACCTGAAAGATCTAGTTAATGTCTGATAATCCACAATTTTGAAGAGATTTTTTTTTTTCTAATTATTGTGTTTTCATTTCTCCTTTTTGTTTTTCTTTCGTTTTCTTCTATGCTTGGATTTGAATAATTTTTTTTGAACTAAATTTTGTGAAGTTCAATCATACAGAAAATATCACATTAGTACTTTTTTCGAATTCTTTACACAGGTCTTGCTATATGATGATTGTGAAAAACTATTAGAAAGCAGGTTTGTGAAGAAAGAGGATGTTATCAGATCCGGTGAAACACTGGAATTCGATGCTTATCTAGTCGACATTGGGGATTCTCATGGAGATCACAAATCTATACCTAATTTGAATTTCCAAGGAAGAGATAAAAAGGTTATGGAGAAATCTGGAAATTTACATGGCCAAAAGTTCAGTAATAACCCAATTTCTGTTGGTATCACATCATTTTTCTTTTATTTTTTCCTTTTCGAGTTGCTTAATTATTTCCTTTTTATTTCTTAGTTCCAATGGTTCTTTTCTTTTCAGAAAATAAGAATGCTAATTCAGGGAAGAATAAAGCACCATCAAGTAATCTGAGTCCATCACAAAAAATCATCAGAGGTTACTTTGATCACATTCAACATCTCTTCATCTTCATTTGCAAAGTGAAACAAGTTTTCAGTATTATCTGTTTATTCCTGAGTGTGAGCTGGCATGGGGAGATTATAATATACATTTTATAAGGTTGAAATAGGAAATCCAGCATTTTATAAACATGTTTCGTAAGTGTGCTCTGTATGTGAGTCTTAGCTCTGTGCACATACAGAGCGTCTTCCTCTTAATTTGTGGTAGAATTGTTTGTTTTCATGGTGTGTTTTTATGTTACTTTCTCTCTCAAGGAAGCCTTAGCTCTAGCGCATAACCCTTTTTAGTGCCAGCAAGTTCTTTCAATTGTCTTATTGACAAGGATAATTGTATTATTTTGAAAATTATAGAGTTCAAGAAGAGTGAAATGGTCAAGTATCGTGCATCACCAAGCTGTCCTGATACGACAAAAACCAGCATAACAGGTTAGTTTCAGAATGCAGTTTTGCGTTCAAAATATAACGTTATTGTAAATTCCCATTTTCTATTATTTTATTTTCATTTTGTTGCCCCCCCTCCAACCAGACGGGGGTAGTAATCGTTTAGTTTATGGTTTGTTCCACTCAACTGTACAACAAAACATCAAACCATTCTGAATTCTTAAACTAACCACTGTTATTAGGTTTGATCAATTGTCAGGTTGACACTATCTAGTTAGTGATTTCTCACAAGCCCAACTTTCATGTTTTCCTTGGGATATATTTCAGTTTTACTGCAATTTTCTTTTCCTTTCATGATTAAACATTTATCATTTCCAATTTAGAATGGCAGGTCTTGTACACAAAACAAATAACTCAGAAGGCCAAGAAGTTTCACGATGGTTTCCTAAGGCTTGCAAATTGTGGATCGTCAGGGACGCAGGTTGATTTCTACAAATTCTGTATGTCCTATTAATTTAATGTTTATTGATATTACTCTTTTTTGAAATTTCACCAAGAGAGTGAAAGTTGGGATGAGTGAGAGAGAATTGGGCACACTGTCGGCATAAGTAGTGGTTAGGAAGCAGAGAACATGAGAAGAGACAAATAATTTGACCTTAATTTTGAAATTTTATAACAGTTAAAAATTGTAAACGAAAACATCTTATGTAGTGAGATGGCCATACCTGTTTTCACAATAAGAAGTAAAGATGTATTTGGACTCGATAAATTAGAGAGATTAATTTAGGTAAAAGAGGAAAGTTGTTATAAAAGTAAAGGTTATTGACCACTTATTAGACTATTCTTGATTTCGGGCATTACAGACTCCCCCCTATTATTTTCTGTCCTTATTTTTTTTGTTTGGAGGTCTATAGCGAACCACCAAACCTTTGGAGCTAGTTTTAAGGAGAATTTTTTAGGGGATTATCAGGAATGACATGTTTGCATGGCTTGTTGATAGCCACGTCGTTGGGCCCTTCAGTACTACCGGTGGCATTATGGTGATTGTTGCATGCAATGAACACATTTTTTTACTCTGCCAACCTAGTCAGTAGAGATATTATTACCTAGTGATGTTTGAACATTTTTTGTGTTGATTCAGTTCTTACTGTTGTTGTGATTGTTAATTACAAAAGCACATTGATCCTCAAATTCCTTTTTCTGTATCACTATTCAGATCATGCTGTACGATGCAACCAGGACACTCTTAGATAGCAGGTTTCTTAAAAAGGATGAAATAATCAGGTCTGGTGAATCATTAGCATTTGATGCTCACTTGGTGGACATTGGAGAGACTGAAGAGATCCATAAAGCTCCAATGGGCTTGAAAGCTCCTGAAAGAAACTGCAGGGTAGTTGGAAATAGAGGAACACTGCATGAACAAGAAGACGAGGCCCACAATGGCTCTCCTGTTGTTGGTACGTTTGTCTCTACATATCTAGCTATTGTATGAAGCATCTACTTGTCAGTGCACTGTTCAAACGAAAGACTGTTTAACTAACGAATATTGATTAGTACTTTATTTGATATCATCATGGTGCATTCCATGCTTTCTTCTTCCAAGCCCCACAAAAAAATTTTCCGTTTGTTTTAAAATTAACATGGCAATAAACTACTTTCCTCAGTAAGGGGTCAGTAGAATTGCATCTGTCTCGGTGGTTGTTAAATAAATTGTTTAGTTTTTTGATATATTATACTGCCTTATTCTTTTTAATGAATCAGCGGTGTAGTACTTCCCTAATGATCCCTTACGCTGTAAGTTGACTATTGTTGAAGTTATTATTTGGGGCTGATAAGTATTGTTTGTGTCAAGTGCTCTCTTCCTTATGTCTTGCATGGGCATATGCCTGCTTTTGGTTTAATAAGCAGTTAGTATTCCGAAGATGCTGCCATCATTTCATATAATTTATATAGCAATTCCAGTTACAAACTAGTATCGTTGACTCACATGGGAAACATAATAATGCACCTTTTCTACAGAAAAAAATTGAGAATTGTGTGGAAGAATATGATCTGGTTTTAGTTTAGAGTACACCTTCCAAGTTGGTTGGAACTTGCATGGAACACTCTTAGCTCTTTGTTTCCCTAACAAGCATGAACTTTAAACACAATTTGTGTTCTCTATCCGAGCCTAAGATGGTTCCAACTTCCAGTTCTTTTAAGTGTAGCCCAAACAAGGAAACATAGAGGAGACATTGGTATTACCTTTCTTTATAGAGCTTGTAAAGATGTTGTTCAGTCATCTTCTGAGACTTATCCCCCAATTATTCTTTTCACCCCTTCTACAAATGCAGAATGGGATGCTATGTACATGAGCCATATAACTCAGAAAAACAAGAAGTACCACAACGGTATCCTTTTACTTGCACTTTGTGGTTCCTACCAAAAGCAGGTCAGTTTTTATGTTCATTCTGCTCCCTGCTTAAATGATTATGTTAGTCATCTTTGTGCATACTCTGGTAACGACTCAGTTGATTTATTTGAAGTTTTTTTTAGAATGCCAGCACCATATACCATGAACTTCATTTTTGAATAGTAGAGGCGTGCTTGTGAAGAGCTTATATCTATAATTTATTTGTTGTATCTACTATTTTTAATTATAAGATGATATGCTATGTATCTGGTCGTATTTTTACTGATGTCCATTATCTATAATGTGTTGTTATAATATAGTTATCTAATCTTGATCAGTGCTATGTTAGAAAATGCTCATTTATACCAAATTAATGCTCATTTTCTTTCCCCTAAATTAAATTTGAATGGTTGCTTATGAACGACTCTACAGTCTGGTGTAATTAGTACACAGTAGTACCAATAAATTCATTTGAATTGTATATGCTATGAAACATTATTGCTTCCAAGTTATAAGTTCCAAGAAACTTGATAAAACATTTAGGTCTTTCTTCAAGTGCCTCAAGCAGAGGCTCTCTGTTGGTTTCAAGTAGCAAAATTGATATGTTACCTTTCTCAGAGAAGCTATTTCATTTAGATTTTAAGTTGGCTCTTTTGTAGATTCATTCTGGCTTCTTATTATTTGGGAAGAGGCCTCCACTGTATTTTTCCATAAATAATAAATGCCTGATCTTTGGCATTTATTACAGTGATATCGATTCTAATATATCTATATATCTGCCCTTAGTATGAAAATTTTTCAACCAACCTTTTGGGTTTGATAAGTGCTTGGCATGTGATGTAGAACTACTTTTGTGGTATATTCCTCGGTACTTGAATTTGTCGTTTGGCCTTTGTATCCCGGAGATTTTATGCTTATGGAATCCCCTCCTTTCCATATATGCTGTGTTAACAAGAAAGGACTTAGTAAGATGTCTGGTTAATAACTCGGCAACACTGTCAAGCAATTCATCATTTACATGGAGTAACTCCATTAAAACTGCAAGGAATTGACATAAAGATGAGAGGCTGATTTTCTAATCACCAGCAAACATATCTGTTCCTCTAAGTTATAAACTTCATAAATATTTTTACAAACAATGAAATGGAATTAGATATCATGTTCTTTTGAATGCTCTCTGCTGTTAAATTTCAGCTCCTGCTGTGAAGTTTTTCTAATTTTGTGACTTTCACTTTTCTGTTGTATCGGCTGATTCTATAACTATCAGGTTACTCTATTGACTGAAGATGGGAACATTTTGAGCCGCAAATTCCTCAAGTTATTAGAAGATGTGACTACTGGAAGTGCATTAAAACTGCCAAATTATTTGGTGGAGGTTGGTGAGCAACGGACGAGTCATAAAGGTAAAGTTCTGCTCTAAGAGGCATTTTTTGTTGTCATCTACTCTCTTACATTTTATGTAAAAATTACGATGTGGCTTCTCCAATATTTTTGTTACGTCATCAAGGTATGCGGTTGTGTTTGTGGGTGCTTCGTTTGCTCTCATATCATCTTACTTGTTTCTTTCATAGGTTCCTGAACTTCCCTTCTGTGAATGTTTTAACTCGGATGTTTTAGGAGAGTCTCGGAAGAATGCTTCCCCTTTAAAACATGTGGATTCAAACTTTAGAAGCTACGGGACTGACAAAATCAAATTTAGTAGAAGAGTACCTGCAAAGCAGCCTTTTCGAGATGGTAAGTCAGCTGTCACATGCTGTGACAAGCATTGTTGGAGCTCTACAATTCCTATAATTTTGGCCTTTTTGATTTCTTTTCCCCGTTTATGTGTGTTTTATATTTTCTCTGCTATCAAACTTACTGAATCTCTGCATATAAATGTAAGTGAAGACGTTAATATAGCAAATGGTCAATGGTTTTTCATTTTTCACCCTTGTGTCCATGAGAGAAGCATTCTGAATTTTCCATAGCTAATCATGATGTAGCTTCTTCATCCCTAATACCTTTTTTTTTTTTGTAAGCAGTACTTCATAATAGAGGTTTTTCTTGTGCTTTCCTTTATTCTCTTGTTTTTACCTTTTTATATGGTACTACTGATCTTTCCTTCTGTAATTGTATTGACTTGGATGTGTGAGAGAACCTTGAGACAATGCTTCTTGATGGAAAGATAACGACTCAAAGGTTAGAAGCTCCAGTTTGACAATATCAAATTAAGCAAGAAAGAACCTTCAAACAAGCCTTTATGCCACCTCTTACCCTGTGACGGCAGCTGCCTTTACATGGCCAGTAATTTGTTGATATGCCCAGCCCCACTGAGTGCAGTATACTAGTAACATAAATTGCTGGGAATAGGCCTGACCCTGATAATTACTTATATGTAAGACAAGTCATCGGAGTCTTCCAAAAACAATTGTCTTTGTTTACTTTCTTTTGTTGATAAGAAACAAGACTTTATTGATAAAAAAGCCAAAAAGGCAATACAAAGGTGATAACTGAATCAAAGGTGGACAAGTCGTCCAACACAATGATCGATTAATAGAAACATAAAGAAAAGCAAGCTATAATCCACATGAAGCTTTCTAGCTAGCAGTAATGCAAAAGAGAGGAATATCTTCAAACTCTTTAGTCACGGGGGCCCAAAAAGAAGCCAAAAAATACAATCTTTCCATATCCTTTCAAACTCCTCGCCTTTATCCTAAAAAATCCTTGTGTTTCTTTTCATCCAAATGATCTACATAGTAGTAAAGAACTTTATATTTGTTACAAACTACTCGCCTTTATACTTGTAAAAACTTTTATATTTGTTACATTTAGTAAGGTCTAATATGTTGAGCTTACAGGGTCCTAACTTAAGACTATGGGTGTCTATTAGTCACTATTGGGGATTGTTTCAGTAGTTTGTGCTAAAACACTGATACAATGGTTTCTGAAACATTATATTTCTAAAAGAAACAAAAGGTATATGCCTTACGAGTGAAGGATGAACCTCGAAGTGTCATGTTAGAGGTTTATTCTACAAAATTAGAGTTACTCCGGGCATGCCAGTGCACTTGGGGAACTCTGAGTATAAAGTTGGCTCCCAAAACATATTTAAGATACACATTTTCTTTGAAATTTATTTCTGGTTCGAAGCAGCCACTAATCAATTATCTTCAATGTTATCGGTTATCAAAATCTCATTTATGTATTTGTCTCACAGTAAGATTTCCGGGTTTATGATGATGGTTTTAGGGTGGTTGGCTCTGAAGTTTTTGGCCTATTTGTTTATTTTGTAGGAACTTTTTTACATGATTTAGCCAGATGAACATCAATTACCAGTTAGATATGTATGTGTACACACAAATTGAAAGAAGTGAATTTATCGCTTCTCTTAACTTTGGTGGTCTCTTCGTGTGTTAAGAGGATAGTTAGAGTTGATTTAATTTAATTTCCTTTCTTTTTCTATCCTTTACTCTGTTTTTGTATGTTTTCAGTGTTCCCATGACTAAGTGTATGTATATACAAAAAATTATACATCTACTTGCTTTTCTATTTCCTAACTAAGTTGTGCTTTTCCTGGATTACGTTTATTTTTTCTGAGGATAGCCTGAAAAAGCAGTATTTGATCTTTCACATCATGTTTCTGGCGCCTGCTGTAGCAGTTTTACCATTTAAAACAATGAGCCATTGCATAATGTATGATAGTATCAAGGACTTTTCTGCAGATATCTTATTTTGTGATGGAGACTCAAATTGAGTACATCAAGCTACAATACTCAGATTATAATCTAACACTTTTTCTTTTTGTTCCTTTAGGGGGAGGGGTTTTTTCTGGAAAAACTTCTTGTTGACATTCATCTTTTCATGTACTTATGCTCTGTTGCACTCATTAATTTTTGAGAATTTGGTTTCTGATTCTTCAGTGCATGAAATTTTGTCCATTCTCAAGAAACCCATTATTCAGGAGCGTTTTGGCAACATGGAGAGGGCATCTCTAGAGAAGCGCCATGCTTCACAATCTTCAGGTTTTTTTCATTCTGAAATTCAGAATCAGGTAGAGGAACAAACTGTGCAGGACTTCTATCATAAGAGAAGTGCCACAGAGGACTGTGATAAAGAATTTACTGCTACGCACAACTACAGTGGTGAGATTTCAAAATCCAAAGCTGTTGACAATGATCCTTCGATTGAGATCAGCGAGTCAGCAGATTCTAACAACAGAGGAGACTCACAACCAAAATTTTTTACTTCATCCAGCTTCACTCTGGGGTATGTATATACTTGATGTGCTACATTGAAGTAATCTTTGTCAATATTAATTGCATGGAGAAATGTTAATTCACATGCTTGTATTCACCTAGAGAAAAGGGGTATCTTTCAGGTTGGGAGACTAGATTTCTTCCTTCTACGTCTAAACTATTTTCATGTTACAAGTGCATGTGTCCCTTGCCAAGAGTGCTCAAACTTATTGAATTCCAGGATCCATTGGTCAGAACTCATGAGACAATAAACCAAGCTCTTCTATTTATTGAATCTCTTCTGGTGACTTCTACGTAGAAATAAAAATATCCCTTACATAGATTCTGATAGTGACATCACTTTTTATGTGATAAAGCAATTCTTTATGGCGGTACCTGTTGCTTTGATTTATTGTAAGCATATGACGCATATATATGTTATGTAAGACTGCTCTGACTAATATTTGGACTTGTGTAATACCTTATTCCAGATCAGGAGAATCAGAGATCTCAGGACTCATGGTTAATGATGTAGTGTGCACAGAGTCTGATAGAAGTAGGACAAGGCCAAATGCTCCTGTTGTGGAGGCTCAAGTTTGGGATGCTCTTAAATTGGATTCTGAGGGCCCACCGCCAACTGCATCAGTGCTGCCAGATATGTCAAATGGAATTGCAGAAAAAAGGGATTACCCTGATTTAATGCCTTCCAAAGGCAAGTTTTACCTCAATTACATGCACTTAAAATATCTGGTTAGTCTTTCCAAATTCTATTATCCAGTGTGCAACAAGCCAGGGATTCTGACAAACAGTAATATCTGCAGGGAAATCTGGCTTTAGTACCAGTCATTTATCCAACAAAGTGAAACCCGGAAACTTCCCCCAGGTCTAGTTTCCAGTGCTTCTTACTCTTTGTTGCCACCATTCTTGCTTGATGTTTAAGCACATCAGACAACTTCGCCCGCTTCATTTTCCAATTTTCATTTTTTTATGTTGTCAATAGCAGATATAAAGTAAAGAAGGATTCAGCCCCAAACCACAAAAACCCCTCCCCAACACCAAAACAAACATCAAAAAGGAAAACCGAAAGAATAGGTGTAAGAAGAAGAAATGAAACAAAAAAGCAAAAAGAAAGAGTTCAATGAGAAAAAAATGAGCTATTAGATTAGATGAATCCTGCAGAGGAGAAAAGGCATTTATGGAGCCAAGCCAAGTTGAAAGCGCATGAAATAACACATTGGTGATGTTTCATGCAATATCATAGTTCGATGTCATTTATCCATCTTAAAAGAACTAGTTGGTTATGTTGCAAAGTGGTGGAATGCCTCCCTCTCCTTTACCCTTCAACGTTTGTGAAAATTTTCAGGGTTCTGAACTTCTGATTATTTTTGGTGCAGCCTTGTGCAGTTAACATGGGAAATTAGTGCTACATGTCATGAAGCTCCTGAGCCTTGTGACAGTGAAAGGAAGAGTTGCGAGGAGCCCACAGGCACGAGAAAAATGGATGAGTTTCCATGTTTTGATCTTGGATTTTGAACAAAGGCCACATCGTATTCTTTTCCTTTTGTGTGTCTGCTATACCATCAAACTTTGAGGACCATCTTGTTTCTTGTCTCAGTAGAGAGTTCTATAAAAGCCAACAATTTTGTTTTACGCACATCTGCAGGCATCCAATTTTGTCCTCATTGATGGGGTCGGGGTGGAGTGTGAGTACTGAAACATTTGGCATTATTTGTAAAATGATTTCTCACAGATTCGAACCTGACAGCATCAAGGTTATGAGCAAATTTCAACCACGGATCCAAGCATTTGATCCGATGGTCAATTAACTATGAATTGGAGTATGGCATGTAGAATTTGAAAACCAAAAAGTGTCAAAGGGATGTTCTCAGCCTTCCACTCCCAATCATGGCATGCATTCATTTGTTGCTTTCTGGATGAATGCACATGAAAACTGATCTTTGAGGCTCCGATGGGAACTGATTACATAAGAACAGGGGTTAAGCAGCCTCAAATTAAAGCTTCTAACTAGTATGTGCTCCTCAAATTATGTTTAGAATTCTATAGCAACTTCAACTTTTGTTCTCTACTATATTTCAAAAGCAGAATCTACTTACTAAATGCTAACTAGTTTTGATGCTTAACCGCTGTTTATTGTTATAACTTGGAGTATTCGATCTATTAACAAGAGATCCATAACGCTTGAGAGAAAAGCGAAGGGGCGAAGCTGCTCGTTTCCCTGGTTTAAATTGAATGCAATCAATGGACAATACTCCAAATATGTTTATGTCAATACACTTGAGATAGAATAAAGTCCTGCACTTACATGTTTCTTTGGTGGATAGAACTCTAGTAACTTAAAATGTTCCAGGATTTGAAGGAGATTCAGTAGAAGACATCCCCTTTCTGCATGGGTATCTCATATTGAGCATGATCTTGGTGACGTTCAGCCACAGATCAATCCATTACGATATTTTTAGTCAACACGAACACGTACCTAAATGGTGATTCAACATTCATGGTTGTTGTTTGAACAGCTTCAGTAGAATGAACATTACGAGAAATTTCATTAGTGTTTGTAACTACTCGAACATTGCACAAAACCAAGCATGTGAATAAGTACTTTAAAAGACAACAAGAAATAAGGGTGTCACCCTATGGGATGAGAAAAGAGGGGAGGAGAGAGAGAGACTTAGTATCATGACAATGGAAGTCTGCTTTCAACACTGCAAGATACAACTAGAAAACTCTACAATAAGTCGGGTACAAAATAATCTTCAACATTTACGTGGGAGACCTTATTGCCCTTTATGCAAAACAAAGCATGAAATGCTTGAGAACTTCTCAGTAGGGTGAATTAGGAGTAGCATTCGTAATAATAACAAATTAGCGATGATTACAAAATAATAGTAATAAGAATAATAATCGTAGTAGTAATAACAATAATAATAAACATTGAAAAGAATCTAAGGCAATGATTAATGACTATTAATACCTTTCGTAAGTGGGTTTAGTCATATTCGGGACACAACTTGCAACTGTTATGCATTGATTTAGTGTTGCTAATAGCAACCATGGGCTCCCCAACTGAAAATGTAATGCAAGTAGGTAATCATAACACATTTGCCTCAGCAAAGTGGTCAATAGGGGAGAAGAATAAAATAGGAGAGAAGAACAATAATTATCTGGAACGGTATATTGCTTATGATACTATAGTATTTTATAAGAACACTGATTTATTTACGAAAGAGTTTCTTAATCACGAGCCTATGAAATACTATAGAAGGGTAGTTTGACGGAAATCAAGTTGTTAAAAAATGTATTTCAAATAAATAATATCTTAATTCTTTTTTTGGGGATGGTCTATTGCCTTTTTTTTTATTTTTAGATGAAAAGAGTGCAAGTAATTCCCAAGAACGACACAACCTTAACCCAAAACAAGTATATGATCCTTTGATAGCTCAAAGGGGCACATTTTTAACTATTCACACTACTAGATCTCTCTCAAAATTATTTGTGACAGTCCTATCATCATCTTTTATTTTATTTTTTTGGTAACAAAGAACCTTTTAATGTAACATTATATTAGATCTATAATATAAAAAATAAATTTTGAATATCTCCAATCACCTGCTAACCATATGCATCAGTTAAAATTGAGAGTCACTAGTGTAATTCTCTATCAATCCTTTATTTCTCTATGGCTAAAAACATTAACAAAGTGCACCTTTTCCCCTTCATTCATTTATTAAAATTATTGCTTTGGTACAATTTTTTAACTTCCGGAGAATAATTTTATTGTTCTTCATAGAATATAATAAAAAATATAATTTATATATTTGATTCCAAATAATTAGGATGTATATATTTTTTTGAGGTAGGTTAACTTGAGTTGAAGATTAATTTTACTTGGCATTGGATGTAGAACATATGCTAGCGAAAATGTTTATTTTACCGTTGCTTTAGAAATAATAATAAGAAAAAAAGGATAAAAAGGGGAATTGTTAATTGCATACGGTGCGTAATGATGGACCAGAGAGCCCAAAAGGTCGCTCAAAAACTCAATCTATCTATACTTCTAAAAAAGTGAGGATACATGAAAAATATTTGTATTCCGTTTTTACCCTAAACTATTGGTATAAAGTCAATCATATCCACTATGTCTTTTGATCTTCCCTCAGCATCAAATTGATTAGCTGCATTGTTCAACAAGCAATGTCAGTGCACGATCATCAAATTATGTTTAATTTCCTTAAATTAATATACTGATTATATTTAATTTCTTTAAATTAATCCTAAAACATTTACAACTCATTGTCTCCCACAACAAATAAATCTTTCTTAGTTGATACAAAAAGTATTGTTCTCGATCATCTTCTCTGTCTTCCATTCTCTCATTTCTCTGCTTTGTTATATTTCAAAATTTTAGCCCTTTGTTGTATCAATTTGTGGGCATCTGTCCACAATCTTATCGATCCTCCAATTCCTTTCAACTCACCAAAATTTTGGACTATGTGTGAATAGAATAAAAACAGAGAGAGAAGAAGAAAAGAATACAATGGTCTTGGAATCCAAGAGGCAGAAGCTGTTTCATGAGCTTACTTAATTTCTTTTTGAGCACATCTCATTATTCATGAGGTGGTAGTGGCTTTATGCGCTTTTATTTGCAAATGCATTTGACTTTTATAGCTTTTTGTTTTCAAGTTTTGGATTTTGATTTCTAAAAGTTTTGTTCTATTTCTCTTTCGAATTTGAATGTTTATGCATGTTTGGTCGATGGGAAGTATTACAAAGGAAGATGCCAGGAATCTCATGCATACACTCATAGCCTTGAAGCAGGACACTAGGTTTACATAATTTTCGAATAGAGAAAGTTTATTGCCTTTCTGATGGATATGAAATCATTGACTCTTCATTAGATGACATTTGACATGTTCTTAATTCGAGGTTCACTAATATTTAGCTCTAATTGTTTTTTACATGTAGCAGATTTTTTTATCACTTCATATCTTTGCTAATAGTTTATATTCCTATTTTGATTAATCTCCTCGTTCGATTTCTTTGACGTTATTGTACAGGTTTACTTGGACGCAAGTTCAGCAGCTTGATAGAAATAGGCAATGGTTTAGGGCACTTATTGGTTCTGATATTTGTTGCTACTACTATTACATTTCATTCTTGTTGCTTATTGGTATATTCTAAACAATTTTGAATATAAACTTAGACAAGCAAGTGTCTAATTTCACCATTCTCTGGTGTTAATTATATTCTAATGGCTCCGACAATATTTTAGGTGGGACTCAATAACATTAGAAAGACTGAATTTGTGAATGTTACAATTAAATCTTTAATGCAAGTTACTCCATTGAGGAACTTTTTTCTTATCCTTAAAAATTATCTACATTGCAAATCTACACTCATCCTTTGATTTGGAGAGCTCACTCGAAAGAATTGGCACTCAAGGAACTTCAAGGGACAAGTTTGTTCCTAGTGTAATCAACCTTTAACAATGACTTTTGTTCATAGAATGCGTATACTTAACATTTTTTGTGTCTCTAGGTGTGGTCACATGAGTTTCTATAGACAGTTATGGACTACATACAATTTTGAAATCTTTATGTTTTTTTTTTATTCTGAGCTTATAATTAAAAGGGGCTGACATTGATTTGTGTTTAAAAGTATATGTAGTGTCTACATCAATTAGGTTTATGAATGTATTATCTTTCTTTATTTCCTTGGTCAGATTTTTCATACGACACATAAAGAATACAATAAAAAAATATTCCAGATCACCACTTTTGGGTAATGGAAGCTTGCAATATCCCATTAACTGGTGAGGCACATCACACAATAACAACAAATCGAAATAGTGGGTCAGTTGCATGCTAGAAAGCATGTATACTTCTTGATGGTGTCGTGGCAGTGTTGGACACAACTAGACATGTGTCCAACACAGCTAGAAGTGTCTTGAATAATCAGTTCAGTCAAACACGACCAATGTTTTTTTTATAAATGATTGTAGCTTAGTGTTTTTTTTTGTGTTTTTGGTTATGTAACTTATGTAGTATGAATGTTAATGTATGTAATGATGTTTGGTGAAAATTATGGATGTTTATTTTGATCTATTTTAATTTTAATAAAAAAAATGATATTTACTAGATCTTATTATTGATATTATTATAAATTGTGCTTTATTTTTAATATATTATAATTTTATTATTGTCTAAAAATATATTATATTATTTTAATTAGTTGTATCTTTAACATACATGCGTCTTATATTTTTGAACTTTGTCATATCTCAGTGTCCGTATCGTAATAGATATATATTTTGTTTACAAATTAATGGTAATCTTTTTCCTTCTCACACTTGATTCTTGATTTTTTTTTCCCTACAACTTTTGAATGCATGACCAAATGTTGAGTTTTACTTATAACCAATTCAGTGAGTATACTAGGTACAAATCTAAATATCTCCAACTAGGTGTGACGTGACTAGATTTTCAAACCATAATCTTAAGGTAAAATTGTTAATGCCTCAAACTAAACTATGCATTATGTATAATCATTTCAAAAAATT